CCGACACACACACACACACAGCAGGCAGAGACTCACCCCCAACACACACACACACACACACACACAGCAGGCAGAGACTCACCCCTCACACACACACACACGCACACACGGATTTACCCCTGAGGGCGACCCCAGACACACACACACCTACCCACACACGCACACTCTCTCCATCTGCCTCAGCCCTCCCATGCACACACACGCACACACGGACAGATGTACTCACACACAAGCACTCACCTACGCACACACACACTACCCACCCCCACCCCCCCACACGTGCACACCCACACTCACCATCCGCACTCGCCGCAGCCGCTCCTCCAGCTGCTCCTCAGCCTCCCGCGTGCGCTGCACGGCCTCCAGGCGGTGGATGAGCTCCGCGGCGAACTTGTGCGGCTCCACACGGACCTCTTTCGGCATCCGGTACGTGCGCTGGGGGGATGTGCCTGTCAGCAGAGCCGCGCCTGCCGGCACAGCCACCACATACCCTCCCTCCCACTGGGGGCACACGTTCTTAGTGGTCACCAGGCACAGTGCTGGTGGGGGAAACATCACGTGGCATCTGGGTTTTATTTTAAGGTGAATGTTTACTTTCTCCCCCCTTTAACGCCCCCCATTTTCTCATCAGATGAGACGTCTCTCCACTCAGCTTTGGTCCAGTGGCGAGGCTTCTCATCAGCATCTCACGACTGCAGGTGGGAGACACTGAGGCTGGGCTGGGACGGTCCCCAGGCAGGACACTTGGCCTCCAGGGACTGAGCCCAGAGGCCATCAGGGTCGCGTGCGCCAGATCGGGGCCAGCGGGTAGGAGGTCCAGCCCTGGTGCCCTCATCCAGTGCGCATGCTGAGTCGCGTCCTGGATGGTGCCAGTGCTCCCAGGACAGGGAGCACGTGCGGGGCCTGAGGCTCCCAGGACAGACCTCTAGGGTCAGGGACACAACGCAGAGACGGGCACTGGGAGCTGCCTGGGCTGCTGGGGGCTGGGTCTCGTGGGCAGGGTGGAGCGGAGCAGTCTGTCTCAGCCACCAGGATGCTAGCCCCTCATGGGGACCCCCGTGTATACTAGGTGGTAGCAGCCCCCACGTAGTGTGCAGTGGGACGAGCCCTGGACTTGGGTGTCCCTTACGGGAAAAATCTGGAGAAAGAATGTCGGACTTTCATTTCTAAGAGGATTAAATCCTGTAACATATCTTATGATAATATACCACATAACTGTTTTGGGGGGTAGCTTTAATTTCAAATAACTTCACTTCAAAACAGTTGCAAGAACAGCACAGAGGGCTCCACCCACCCTTCACCCAGACTCCCCAGTGCCAGCATTCCCCTGCCTGTGCACCATTCTCTCACACATGCACACACGACCACCCTCTTTCTTCTCAGGGTGCGCACAAACCAGCTTCCTTTCTTCTCAACCGTGACGGATAACGAGCCCTGGTGGCGCAGTGGTTAAGAGCTACGGCTGCTAACCAAGAGGTCGGCAGTTCAGATCCACCAGCTGCTCCCTGAGCACCCGCGGGGCAGCCCCACCCCGTCCTGTGGGGTCACGGTGCGTCGGGATCCACGACAGCAACAGGTGTTTCTGGTTTAGGGACGGATCAGTCACTTCCCCTATTTAGAAGTTAAGGCGCCTGCAAAGACGCTAAGAGGCTCTACCTCAGCAGTCTGACAACGACCCTAACGATCTCCTCTTCTGGCACAGAAACTGCAAGGGGCCTCCCAAGCCGCCCACAGACAGAGGGGTCTCCTGACCCGACAGCCATTCCTGTTCAAAGCTGGTGTGTCAGACTTAGAGAGCAAACCCTCTGAACCACCACCAAGGGCCCGTCTGCAGAGGAAGGCTCCATGCTGCACTCGGCCCTCCGCTGCCCAAGACCAGGTGCCGTGACCATCTTTACCGGAATGGGGACACTGGACACCCACGTGGTGACGGCCCCAATTTGGCCAGAGGCCGATCCCCCAGGCTTCACCCTGAATGCAGCTGCACTAGCAGGAACGGCAGCACAGGGGAGCCCCAGGCCTTCCAGCAGCACAACAACATAGAGCCACCACGTGGGGACAGGCTGGCCACTGCGCCGGAGACCAAGCACAGTATCCTTGCCTCAAGGAGTGTAACGGGGAATTGCCGGCGGGGCGGGGGCGGCTCAGAGGGCACGTCGCCTCATCAGGCAGCCACAACAACCCTCCCACAGGTGGACCGTGCCAGCCAGGCCCCAAAAGTCACCTGGGAGCCAATGCCTGGTGTCCGCCTTCCCCAGTCAGTGCCAGAGACGGGTAAGGCTCCGAGGGCGTACGTGCGTACTTACAGGGATGTGTGGCAGAGGCACCCTCCCGTTGACCTGGATGCTCTCCTGCATCTCCCGGCGGTGCTGCTTACGGATCCTGTACGGGGGGACGCCGTCCCTGTCCAAAAGAGGGCGACGCGGCTCAGATGGGAAAACCACCCGGCCAAGACCAGCCAGCTCCGAGCCACGACTGAGCACGCGCAGACCAGCCAGGAGCGGTGCCTGCTGGGCCACGCCAAGGCTACCACCAGACGCGTGTGCACACACACGTACACATGCGTACACACACATGCATACTCACTCATGCACACCCGCGCATACCCCGCACACTCGTGATGCACACACACGTACACCTGCACACTCACACATACACGCACCCTCACCCACATGTGGCAGGGCCCCTCCTCCAGCTGGTGCATATCGAGCATTTCCACAAAGTCCAGCCATGCTCGTTGTGCTTCAGGGAAGGACTGGCACACTACAGCCATGTTACCTGAGAATGGTTTCCACATTGCTAGAGGGTGGGGGTGAAACAGACCCTGGGACAGAGACCAGCTGGGGGGTCACAGAGCCCAGCGGAAGACGCCCACCAACCTGCATTAAGGCACAGCCCAGGGCGCCCATGGGGAGGGAGCTCCACACGGGCCAGAAATGAGCGAGGGCTGCAAAGTGACACCTGGGCCCCCGCACACCGAGAGACTGCGCGGCTCCACAGCCTCCCTTCCTTCGGGGTAAACTGACAGTCAGGTGGCCCTTGAAGGCTGCTCTACGCAGTTTCTCATTTTAGGTGTGAACACTCAGAGGACTGTGATAAACGTGGAAATCAAGTTACATCTTGTCTTTAAACAACTGCCCGCTCCAGGGTTAAGGCAACCAAATACACAGACACCACTGCTTCGAGACACTTCAGTGAAAACAAGAAAACAACATGCCAAAAAACCTAACGCAAGTTCTGGGGAAAAGACCACAAAACGACTTCTGTGAAGACAAAGCAGGCAGCACTGGGATTACAAGGTAGACCAGGCGGCCCGGTCTCGGGGCAGGACTCACACGCTGCTGTCGGTGAGAGACAGGGTGTCGGCGTCGCTCGACAGGCTCTGCTGTTCACTGTCGTTGGCGCTCGTGGCCGGGGCCAAGGCGTAGCCGGAGCTGACGTAGTAGGGGTTGGCCGGCTCCCGCCAGGATCCATGTCTGCAAACAAGAGGACAGCTCAGCCAGCGGCGCAGAGGCCTCTTTGTTGTCTCAGACACTTCCAGAGCTTAAGTGGCTTAGCAGAAGAATCAAAAACACAAGCAGTTCAACAAAAAGACGGAGCAGAAGGGAGAGGGTCTCCATTCTCCACGCACTCCCCCTCCCAGGGGCACCCGGGCTCAAGCCTGCGGCATCTCTCCAGACAGCTCCTCCAAGTCTACACAGACGCGTCATTCCTGCCTCATCCCTCTTCTGAATAGCGCCCATGTCACCAGCTGCAAAGCGCCCTCCCCCTCTGGCCAGCCCTGAGGGTCTCCCGGCACTGGTCTGAGAGCAGCCGCGGGACGGAAAAGGGCTGGGACGTGGCGAAGGCACAGGACAGACAGACACCGTCACACGGCCTCCAGTCACGCCTCCCAGGGGCAGTGTCGCCACGTACTCCTGAGGGGACCCACCTTTACTTCAGGCACTTGAGCAGCTGTCAAGGGACACCACGCTTTGACCTGCATTATCTGTGATTACTAGCAGACTGGCAGTGTTGGTTTTTTTTTTATCATTTTAATTTCTTTGTCTTTAAGTAATCTGTTCATAACTTCCGTCCATTTTCTACCAAGTTATTGATAATTTTCTTCATGTTTACAGAAGTCTTTAAACATTCTTACTATTAATCTCTGGTTACATGCACAACAATATTTTCTCCTGAAATGTCACTGTTCTTTTTAATTTGGTTTATGTTGATTTTGGTCATAGCAAGTTTTTCATTTCTATGAAATCAGATTCCCCGGTCTCTCCCTTCACGGCTTTCCCGTACCTTACACTGGCAATAAAAGAACACTCCGGATGCCTGTTTCAGCCCCCCAGGAAGGGAGCTGCTGCATATTTAGAACAATCACAGCCATGGGGAGAAGATGGTCCTAGGCTTCCCAAGTGCAGGACAGCCTTGCTCGGTCGTGCTGGCCGAGGCCCGGTGGTGCGTCAGTCAGCAATGTCCAGGGGCAAGTCCAGCGCCAACTCTAGCCCCTTGCTGAGGCATGTGGGGCCTGTCCGAGCAGCTGGGTCCTCCTGTGCAGCAGGACAGTGGGACACCGCCCACCCACAGGGTCCCTGAGAGGACCGGGCAGAGGGCCACTGAGCCCAGCACAGCCCCCCACGCCCAGGGCACACTGCGGTCCACGTGACTTGAGAGGTCTGACAGCCACACATCACTGCGGAACTCTCTCGCGCCAGGGGCCACTCCGGGGAACCCTCTGCTCTAGACAATGTTGTCAGACGCTCAGTGTGCGTCAGGGGGTCAGACTGCACGTCAGCTCGTTAGACACTCACGGAAACCAGCCTGATGAAACGTGACCTTGACAAGACGGGTAACCATTTATACTGGAAGCTCGGCTGTCGGTGTCTTTGGGCTTAGCATGGCGAGGGGAGGGCTCCGGGTGAGTGGGGACCACCCTCTCCAGGACAGACTTGAGGACGTGCTGACACACGGACACACACCAAGGCGACTGTGACAACACCAGCCCCTCTCGGCCTCAGTATCTCCGACCCCACAGAACCTAGCCCTCACGCACACGAACATGTGTACGCACCCGTCACCTGCCCTGAGGGAGCAAGGCCACTCCTGCCCAAGCCTTTGGGGAAAATGAGGCTGCTCCAGCCTCCGTGTGCTAGGAAGAACTAAAGGGTCCAGACGAAACAAGTCACTCACGAAACATGACTAGTCACTGCTCAACGCAGGGCGAGTCAACAGACCAAAGAGCCTTTTCCTCTCCGCTCGGTATAAACACAACACATGTACAACAGCTTTGCGCCACTCACGCTGGGCTTCTCAAACCCTGGACTCACACACGGATGGGGCTGTGTTCCACAGAATCCACCCCTGCGACTTGCAGCGAGGCCTCCTCATGGCGCTTTGGGTCAGCCCACACGCCAGCACCCCCTCCCCTAGGGGGGACCCTGCAAGCAGACGCTGCAGGGGGACTCACCAGCACCCCAGGAGGCACGCCAAGCACACCTGACAAACTGGCAAGAAGCAGATGCTTCCTCCAAGTCACAGCAGTGGTCCATGTTGGGAGCAGCGACTCCCAGCAAACCGCAGGTCACTCAGAGGAGCCCGCAGTGACAGCATCTGCGCCACCCCGCTCGGGCCTTTGAGAACACAGGTGGCGGTCCGCCAGATCCACAACTCCCTGCGTCGGACTCGGGTCTGAACCATCACTAACCCAAAACGCGCCTCACAACGCTCGGTGAAGACCCACCCAGGGTGCCCCTCAGGAGACGTTCTCAGCGCCGAGCCGCAGGACCAGACCACAGTGATGGACACACACAAACTTCCACTCAGGAAGCGGGTCACGGCCAGGTTCTCGATGAGGACCATGACTTATCCCTTGAAGTAACGGCAACCACAGATTCCCAGCCATTCACCTTCGTTAGTCCACAGGGCCATCAGATGAGTCTTGAGACCGGCTCTGTGCCAGCAGGGCTGGGGACAGACGTGACTCGCCGGCCGCCCTCCGCCATATCCTACGGAGCAGCAAGGACACCCCCGTCCAGGAAGGGAACTCCTGAGGAGTACGTCTCAGGGGCCTGGTTTCTGAGGGCTGCGTGGCGTTTCTGCTCGCGAGTTTCTTTTCACAGTGTGTCAGGTGGTGGCTCTGAAGGAGCCTCACTTTATCCAGCGAGCCTGAGATGCCCACCTCACAGGAGAGCCGCGCTACAGGGAAACTACCATCTCCGACCCGCGGGAGCGAGCGCGCAGCGACAACAGACACTTAGACCAGGCGGAGCGGGACAAAGTGGCTGCCCTGCTTTCATCTGCCAGGGGCCCTGCCATGGAGTGCTTCATCTGCAAAGTGCCTCCAGCACAGTTCCTCCAAGTTAACAGCACGAGTGTGACATCCCATCTACCACCCTCCCCATCCCTCGTCGCCACCATTGCAGAGTCTCCGACGAGGGCGTGTGTTGGGGGGCACCAGACCAGCCAGGGCCTGCTCAGAGCAGCTGTGTCCACACCTGTGCGTTCCAGGGTCCACGGCTACGAGCCCTGAGACAGATGGGAACACGCGTAACCTCACAGGACCCAGTTCTCACTTAGAACAAGCAGCTCCACACATCGCTCAGCATACTAGGGGTGGCACGGCACCCGTGACGGCGTGCAGCAGACAAGCACTTGGTATTCTCAGCCCAGACGACAGTCCAGCTAGAGAATGTGAGACAAAGGTGCTCCAGCACAGCGCCTGGGCACCGTGACAGACTACAGACAGACACTCAGAGTCCAGCAGCCCAGGACAGTGTGGAGTAATAGCAGCAGCAAGTCCTGATTATAAAGAAAACACGCTGAGCCTTTTAAAAAGCCAATACTAAAGCGGCATGCGGTGGAAACAACTGAAATGCCCACGATGAACGGATAAAGCTGTGGTCCATCCACAGAGCAGAATATCACGTAACTACGGTGAGAAATGAAGTCCTGACGTACAGCACCAGATGGACAGAATGATGAAAACATCCTGCAGACTGAAAGAAGCCAGCTGCAAAAGGACAAATACTACATGCTCTCACTCGTATGAAGTAAAAAAAAATAGACGATAACAACAAACGTTGGCAAGGATATGGGGAGATTGGCACCCTTATCCACTGCTGGTGGGACTGTAAAATGGTAGAGCCACTATGGAAAATGGTATGGTGCTTCCTCAAAAAACTGGAAATTGAGCTAGTTACCCTATGATCCAGCAATCTCACTCCGAGGTATATACCCTAAAGATGTAACAGAAGTGACACGAACAGACATACGCACGCTTGTGTCCATTGCAGCGTTAGTCACAACAGCAAAAAAATGAAAACAACTGAAGCACCCAGCGGATGACTGGATAAGCAAAACGTGGTACACGCGTACAATGAAATACTGCACAACCATAAAGAACAATGGTGAGTCTGCGAAATATATAACAACACGGACGGACCTGAAGGGCACAGTGCTAAGTGCAATAAGTCAAGCACATAAGGACAAATACTGTCTGATCCTTCTTTTAAAAGAAAACAAGAATATTCACACACAAAAAGTAACAATCTTTGTTGGTTACAAAGGATGGGAGGGGTGGGGGGAAATACTAAATAGGCAATAGATAAGGGGTATCTTGGGTGAAGGGTGAGACAGTACACAATACTGGGGAAACCAGCACAACTTGTACAAAGAAAGGTCACAGAAGCTCCATAGACACATCCAAACTCCCTGAGGGACTGAATTGCTGGGCAGAGGGCTGTGGGGACCATGGTCTCAGGGAACATCTAGCTCAACTGGCGTAACACAGTTTATAAAGACAATGTTCTACATTCTGCCTTGGTGAGTAGCGTCTGGGGTCTTAAAAGCCTGTGAGCGGCCGTCTAAGATACTCCACCTGTCTCATCCCTTGGCAGCAAGGGAGAATGAAGAGAACAGGATACAACGAAAAGATTGGTCCAAAGGACTAATGGACCACAGCTGCCGGGGCCTCCACCAGACTGGGTCCAGTACAGCTGGATGGCGCCCGGCTACCACCACTGACTGCTCTGATGGGGATCACAACAGAGGGCTCTGGAAAGAGCTGGAGGATGTAGAACAAAATTCTAACTCACAAAAAAAAGACCAGATTTACTGGCCTAAAGGAGACTGGAGAAATCCCGAGAATATGGCCCCCAGACATCCTTTTAGCTAAGTGGTGAGGTCACTTCCAAGGTTCACCGTTCAGCCGGGAAGTGGTCAGCCCCATAAAACCAAATGGGACTGATGAGGCACAGCAGTCCAGGGACGGGGGCTGGAGGGCGGAGGGGGACGGGAAAGCTGGTGATAGGGAACCCAAGGTTGAGTGGGGATAGTGTTGATGTGTTGTGAGATTGTTAATGATTGTCATAGGGCAACATGTGTACTAACTGTTTAATGAGAAACTATTTTGTTCTGTAAACCTTCATCTAAAGTGAGAACGGCAGCACAACTGGAAGAGCGTGGTCAATGTCACCGGACTGTACATGTAGAAATTTTTGAAATGGTGTATCTTTGGCTATGTGTATTTTCACCAAAATAAAAAAAATAAAAAGGTCGAGAAGGGAGATGGTTGACATGTTGTGGAATTGTTAGCCAATGTCATAAAACAATATGTGTACTATTGTTTCATGAGAAACTATTTGTTCTGTAAACCTTCACCTGAAGTACAATAAAAAATGAAAAATAAAAAATAAAAAGAAGACAAGAATAGATACACACAGAGACCAATGTTCACTAGCAGCTACCAGGAATGGGGTGGTGGGAATCACCCTCTACATCGTCGATACTTGTTATTTTTGGTGATGGGAAAAGTGGCACAGAATGTGCGTGCAATGAACACAGCCCGACCACAGTAAACGATGCCGCTAAGAAGTACACAAGAGAAAAGGATGCCTGTGCTGAAGAATATGACATATAATCTGGCAACAATACCAACAATAACCAAAAACCAAGTGTACGGTCACATATGCACGGGTATAGGCACACGTGTATAGGTAGGAACAGGTAAGGATGTATGCGTGCACAGGTAGAAGTATCTATGTGTACGTGTATATACAGATATGTGTGTGCACACATATATATTCCCAAAAGACACAGTTACAGATACTTCTCAGATATAACCAAACACCTTGTGAGACTGGTTTTCTGGGTTTGAAGGCTTACGACCTTCGTCTCATGGGACAACTCAGTCAACTGACATAATTCACAAAGTTCATGTTCTGCGTCCTAGTGAGGTGAGTAGTGTCTGAGGTCTTAAAAGCTCGCAAGCAGCCATCTAAGATACAACTATTGGTCTCTACTCTACAGGAGCCAAAGAGAAAGAAGGAAACCAAAGTCTCAGAGAAGAAACTAATCTACAGGACTAATAGCCTACACAAGCCACAGCTTGATCTACCTGAGACCAGAAGAACTAGATGGTGCCCATCTATCACTACTGACCATTCTGATCCAGGTCACAATAGATGGACCCTAACAAAACGGGAGAAAAACGTGGAACAGAACTCAAATTCTTAAAAAGTCCAGACTTACTGGACCAGTTGAGATTAGAGGACTCCCTGAGACTATCACCCTGAGATACCCTTTAAACCTTGAACCAGAACTATGCCCAGGTCCCGTTTTAGTGAAATAACAGATTGGCACACAAAGGATATTACCTGTGAGTACAGAGCTCCCTTAAAAACCATCTCCATGAGACTAAAAGGACAACAACTACTCCGAAGCGGAGATGAGAAGATAAGGGGGCAGGGAAAGCAGAGTCCCGGAGACGGAACAACGAGAACACACTTAAAGAGAATGCTGACACACTGTGAAAAATGCAACTAATGTCCCTGAACGTTTGTGTAGAAATTGTCAAACAGGAACCTAATTGGCTGTGTAAACTTTCACCGAAAACACAATAAAATACTGTTTAAAAAAATTATACATATATAGAGAGAGAGAAAGAGAGAGAGAGAAACCAAAGATTATTAATGCTTACCAAGGGTGGGTGAGAGGGGGAAAGGAAGATTTTTTGCGGGGGAGGAGGGGGGCCCTGAGTTTATGTGAATTGTGGTGAAATATTTTGGAAAAGGATAGCAATAATGGTAGCACAACATGAAAACCATACCCAACGTCACGGAGCTCTGAACACGGACGTCGCTACAGTGGTGAGTGTTTTCTGCGCATATTTTCACCATAATAAAAACAAAAACTGCCCGTGCAATGGGATCATAATATTAGGAAACAGGCAAAGACATGTTTTTCTGTCCAAATTTTCTTATTTCATATGTGCTGTTTTTATTTTAAAAAATCAAAGTAATGAGAAAACATTTAACATATATCATGTGAAAACAATGCAAAACCCCCGAAGCATACACAATACAAGAACAAATAGATGTAACTATTTTTACATTAAAATATACACAAAGCACTGATAATGATGATGGAACAAGAATGGCAGGAGTCAGATGGGGGCCACATGGAGTCCCAGGTGCATCATCCACAAAGTCAGTACCCACCTGCCTCTCCTCTCCCTTTACCTCCAATCTCCCTCTGGACCCCCTGTGCAGGCAGCCGTGCTGTCTAGGTGGCCCACTTAGTGTACACCCAGCAGTGCAGCCCAGCCAATGCCCTCATTGGGACAGGCAGTACAAAGCAGGACATGGCTGTCCCCACCAAGCAGAGCAACACACAGGCCTTCTCCACGGCTGTGGAAAGCGCTTCTACACCAGGAAGCTCAGAGCCCCAGCGTGCTGCAGGCAGCCATCCCAAAACAGGAGCCACCCGAGGATCGGCCAGCCACCAGGGTACAGAGTTGAGGGAAGCACAGGAGAGGGGCTGGAGCCCCGATCACACCGTGACTGAAGCTGGCCTTCCCTCTGGCCTTCCCATTCATAGGTACCAATCAGCCTGTTACATTTACGCCAGCTCAGGCTGGACCTGGTACTCCCCACCTGGCATCCTGTTTGACAACCCCCTGCATGACAAGTAGCATGTGGCCACACGAGCATCACCTATGGGAGGCACTGGCTGGGCCACCACAGCTGTCAGTGCTAAGAAATGACGACCTTCAAACCACAGGCTGAACCACAGTCACAGAGAAGATTCCTGACGCCAGGCCTCTCTGCCCCAGCGCCCTCAGATGGCTCAGTCCTCACAACTAAACGTTGTTAGGGGAAGCCAGCGTATTTTATCAATTTGATAGCAAAGGTTGCTTATTATTCACAGGGAAAAGAGCAAAGTAAGTCACTTCTGGGACATGAGGGTGGGGGGAGTGCTCAGGAACGGTCAAAATTACACACCGGAATTTAGCTCAACTTTTTTTCCCCTGCAGCCCAGGACTCAAGTTTAACCCCATCTTTAAAATGTCCTGATCATACGTGAAAACTCCCAGGTTTGAGAAGCTGCCACTTGCTCTATCTGCACTCAGCAGGATGACTTCAGGGCATATTCTGTCTGTAAGAGCTCGCTACATAAAGAGCTTTGAGCTAAAGACAAGGAGCGCAAGTAACCGAGCATTGACCTCCATCTATCCTGAATCACATCACCTAAACCAAAGGCTGTTGAAACCTCAGGAATGTTTGAGCCTGTGTTTATAAGCGAGTAGCCAATGTCCATGTCACGGTGAGTGTGAAGGTCCAGGCCCGCAGTGACCCCATGTCCCATGAGTTCCAGGCGTTCAGGTGTCACTGGCCACGGGGACACCCTGCTAGCACCTGCCGCTGAGCGACCTTGCAGTGACCACGTAAAGTTTACTGAGAAACAAGAATTAAGAAGCCAGTTCCCAACACTGTAACAGCTTCATGGTTACTCCTCCCAAAGGTGCCTCCCTGCAGACACTTCGTAAACATTCCAGAACCAATGCTGGGCCGCCATGAACGCACGCCGCTCAGCCGCACTAACCATTTGTTGGCTGGAAAAAAAGGCCAATCCTAGAACTTCAGCCATCACCACAAGAAGTTTTCAAAGCACTTGACAATTCACCCTACAGAAGCCCCCACACCCCTGTTTTCCAGCCTCTAGAAACAATCTCATAAAGAGCAATAACCTAGCAGGGGCCAGTGCCTTTAAACGGCTACTCCCCCCTTTATTAAACCAGACGGCAGGTCTCCGGGCTGACCCATCTCCTGCCTGTACTTAGAGGACGCCAACTTTGCCGCAACGGTAACGTTTAAATGGTATTATGACGTCTATGCATTCCAATGTTTTTACCGACTTACAAAACCATGAATCTTAGTCCTTAATGAAAGGATTCTCAACGTTACCAACTTTAAACACACTTACTGACACACGCGAAGGTCTCGTGAGTGAGAAATAAAACCACAGTCCAAGCGACACAGCGGGGTGGTATTCAGTTTGAGTTAAAGCCCCCAGCTGCAGAGGTGAGTGCAGCAGACAGGCACTTGGCCGACTCACCTGAGCTCCCTGCCTTCACTGCTCCGCCGGCATGCGGAGGTACGCTGGGCGGCCGTCTCCATGAGCAGCTTCTGGGTGAGCCTGCTGGAAGGGGCGGCACCCCTGCAGTCCTCATCCTCCACGTCCTGGCCACACGTCCACTCCTCGTCCTCATTCAAGGTGGGCAGGTACCCAGACACGCCCTTCCCTGTCCCCGACCCCGAGCTCTGGTCACTGCAGACCTTGGGGCTCTCGGAGCCTGTGCGTGTGTGTTCCAGATAAATGTCAGACTTGAGGAAGGAGGGGTAGGTGTTCTCCTCCATGGTGGACTGCACCTCCGTCTGGGCCTGGTCGAAGGTGGCGGGGTCAATCTGCTGCCGCATGATGCAGTCCTTGATGAAGCTCTTGGTGGCCGGCTTCGTCTGCCGTGACACAATCCCACTGCTGTCCAGGATGTACTTCCTATAGATGGCCTTGGCCAGCTTCAGCCTCTTCTCCTCATTGGAGTCACAGGGCTCCAGCTTCCGGAAGCCACTGCAGGCAAACCAGAAGTCCAGCAGGTCGGCACAGTCCTCCTGCTTCAGGAAAGTTCTGAACAGGTGTATCCCGTCCTGGTCGTCCAGCAGGGAGTGCAGCGACTCAGCCCACTTCAGGTACGGAGGTGTGGGCGAGGCGCTGCCTTCAGGCTCGTAGCCCAGGTCCAGGTCGGAGCGCCGCGGGGTGGCTGTGGACGTCTCCCCTTTGGGCCCGGCACCTTTCCCCGAGCAGAAGCTGTGGCTGACCGGCCTCGGGTCAGTGGACACCAGCTCTCCCTCCTCACCTGGCACGGGGGGCCTAGGCGCATCTTCTGTGAAGCTCGCGCCGAGGTCCAGGGGGAAGCCCTGCTCTGGGACAGTCATCGTGGGCTCCGTGTGTCAGTGCACAGTGCACTGCACCCGGCACATCAGCACCGTGCGTCCTGGGGGTCAGTCTGTCCTGTTGAAACCATCAGAGGACAAGGATTAGGAAAGGTGGGTCCGCGGCCACATGGCCACAGAGGCGTTCTCTGACGAGATTTGGCAACGAAACCCCCACCCCCTAGCCAGGAATTCAGTTTAAACACGCAATCGAGACATGATTTGGCCACAGGACGGCTCCACATGAAAACAGTTTCTGGAAACCCTCACAGCTACAGGAATGCTTCTTGCAACCAAAAGCGAGGGTCCTCCTGTGAGGGACTCACAGGGACTCCAGCAGTCCAGGACCCCATCTCTGCTGGATCTCAGCCGGCAGGAGAGCAGGAGAATGAGGAAGAAGAGGGCTTCAGTGCTGACCAGCTGCATAAACCTGGGCAAGACCTAACCTGAGAGCGGCCCCTCACACCTAAGAGGGGGGTGGTCCCCCGCCCGACCGTGCCAAGACACTCAGACACTGCAAGGACAATGCTCTGCCGCCCACAGGCAGTTGGTCTCGGCTGCTCCCGCGACAACGCTCACCTTCGAGTCCCATCTTCTCTAGGCCAACAGCCAGGGTATTTTCTGTCCACCACCCTTTCATACTCAGCACGACGCGCAGTGTGTACAAGCTGTTCCTCTAACTCTCAACTCACACAAAAAAGCTGACTCAGGAGTCACCTCCAATGCCATGGACTGAGTGACCGGAGAACATCCCCACAAGCACAGGGCATTCTGACCGTCCGTGTGACAAAGTGACAGTAGGTGGCCGTTGGGTACTTGAAGGAACCAAGAAGGCACAAGAAAAAATCAAATCCAAACCCAGTCACACGTTTTAGCCAAGGAAGCACAGAGCTCACCTGACTGAATTCTGTGACCTGAAGGCCAGGCCCCGCCCCTTGTGGAGGTCATAGGTTCGAGGGTTTTGCTGCTGGTGTTGCCCATGCCAGCATGGACATGAGAATCACACTGACCTGGACACAAGGCTCGGACAGACAGACTCTCTGTCTGGTCCTCAGGGCCCCCCACCATAACCTCAAGGAGCCCTCGACCACTCCTGCTGACCTCACCCTCTCCCAACTGGCATCAGCCGTGAGGTGAGTGGTCCCAGCTACACATGCACAGGACAGCGCAGGCTTTCCAGAGCGCCGGAGAGGCCAGGTTGAGCAATGGGACAGCTAAGGACCAGTCCAACGGGCGGCCTTCTGAAGCCTGAGGCCCACACTGCCGGGCCCTGCTTCCACCTGCTAACGGCTGCCAGGTGCCAGACGCAAGACGCGTCGGGAGACACTTCTGCAGCAAGTGACTTCACGAAAACCGCTGGGCAGGCTACAATGGCGACCTCAGCAGGAACGCCTGCCGGTTAAGGTCAAGGCCCCATGGCTGTGGCGTTCCGCCGCTCATGGCCACTTTGCCGCAAAGTCACTGTCCCTCAGCCCCGTCAGCCACAAGCAAGCCCCTCCTGTGTCTGCAGTTCTGCGCACGCCGTGACACGCCCCGGGGACCCGCGCAGTGCACGTGCCTTGAGGAGGAACCAGGTCACTAGACACACGAAAAGTCACTTACCAAACAACGCACCAAGTGGGAGCTTAATCACGCATCTGCCACTCTGTCCCTGCGCTTAAGGGGCTGTGTCTTCCGAGTGAGCTATTAGTGGTGGCCGAGTGGACCACACTTGGCAGACCCCACGTGCTTGCTGCACCTAGCTCAGGGCCTCGCAACTCACAGTGACCAAGAAACATCTGATTCATTGACACAAAGGAAACAAACCTCGTCCCAGATGCCAAAGTTCAGCTCTTCCAGGTGCTGGGCTACCATGCTACTGACACGGCAGCCAATGCCTCACAAAGTTGCAGGTATCTTTCAATTCAGGCAAGAACAAAATCCACCCTCATCATGTCAAACTAGTTTCACAGCCCAAAAGAAACATTTCCTATCGTTCCCATCTATTTTTGGCCATCCACTGACAGAGATCTTTGGTGTCCCTGGAGCACACAGACACCCCAACAAACTACTGACGGCATAAACCCGCTCTCAGGGTCTCAGGCTTCAGCTCAGACGCATGCAGACTGTTCACTGCGCACACATACACACCACACAGGAAACAGCTGTGTTCATTCAGGTCAGCGCCAAGTGCCCACAAACACTAATTCTGACCCACAGCCTGGAACCACCATCAACCAAGTGAATCAGTAAAAGGAATCTACAAACCTCACGCCATCCACATTTCTTCTTGTCACGGCTTAGGGACACCCCTGGACCATGGCAGCACCCTCCACCTCAAGTAACCAAGTCACTACACCTGGGTCTAGGTAGGTAAGTAAACAGATGATAGACTTTACTCAAACCTAACATTTAAGCTTTTTATTAAGACGGAGACCAGAACTAACAGGGTATAACTGACATCTTCCCGCTGGTCCGTTGACTAAACTCCTAAAGGGTCAGGGCTACTGCTTTACACACAATCCATGCCCCACCACCTGAACTTCCAAGGACCAACTCAGCCTTTCTGAAACGTCAGAACCGGATGAAAATCAAGCAAGAGCATCGTGTTTTACATGCTTTCCCACCCTCGTCCTGAAAAGAATTTCTTAAAATTGAAATTGAGCTACTGCTGACTATCTCTGGTCGTCAGGGGTAGACGTGTGTGCTTCTCCAGCCCAGGGCCTGTAGATCCAAGTCAACACAAGATCTTCCTAAAGATGCAGAAAACACAGATGAGGCAAAAGAGGGGCCACTGTGCACAATAAGAACCCTTTATAAATCACCTGAGGGGTGGGCCCAGGAAAATCCCAGAGAACTGATGGATTGTCCCTACTGTCCTCAGGACGAGCTAAGAGTTTTGCTGCCTCAGCTGTGCGGTCCTGGTTTCATGGGGGGCTAAATTCCAAAGTGTGAGCTGGGGGTAGAAACGAAGACCCACGAGAGAGACTTGGTTTTAGGCAGCAAGATAACAAGGGTTGCCTAAGATAACAAGGATTGCCGAAGCGAGGATAAGCGGCTATTCAGACAAGCCGAACACTAGCACCTCTGCACAGAAAGGGAGGGCCTGTCTGGGATGTGCACGCCCTTATTCCTACTTTTGCTGGGAGATGAGGGGAACAAGCACTCCACAGCTGCCGTCTCCAGAACTCCTGAACTGACCTCTGGCCCCAGCAGCTACTCTGACCCCACCCACACCCTGAAACCTGCCCCAGGCCCACAGACAACAGCAACCACCCCGCATCATGCAAACACACCCAGCTACAGAGACCTCGACCCTTCTCCAGTGAGCACCCCCGTCTCTCCTCAGAATCCTAGGTCTTCCTCACTCCCTTGCACGCACCTAGACCAAGGGCCTGCCCTTTTTGAACAAGCCCCACTCATCCCCCTTCACACGTCTCTGTGGCAAGAGCCCTGCCTTCCCACGCCGTGCCTGGCAGCCTAGACCCCAACAGCATCCCCGCATACCTCTCAGCCCTCAAGGCTTCTCCGCACGCCCTCGGACCCCCATACAAGCCCTCGGAGCCCCGCACGCCACTGGACCCCCATACACACTCTCGGACCCCCATACAAGCCCTCGGAGCCCGCACGCCACCCGCTCAGCCCTGGCACCCCAGAACGCCCCCTCCGCACTCGGCCCGCACGCCCCCGAGCCCTCTTCCGGGTCCCGCGCCGGGCCC